GGGGGGTCCCCCTCCCCTGTCACACACAGCACACACTCCAACACTCACCCAGTGTGACTGTGAGCAAGTGGACCCCCTCACTGCGCTGATTGTGGCCGACGGCTGGCCTTGCCGCTGATGGGGGCCGCTGTGGTTGCTCGTGGGGCTGCTGGAGGAAGAGCGACTTAAAGTCGGTGCTCTGCTCAGGAGTCATGATCAGGAGTCCGTCTTGAATTTGCACTCAAACCGGCTCAAACTGTGGCCGAATGGTTGCACGTCACGGGCGCTCAGGGCCTCGCTCGACCTCCGTCACGCATGTCTACGACGTCATCGACCCCCTCCCCCTTCCCTCCCCCGGGGGACAAGGGAGGGAGAGGCGTCCCTCTCAAACATTAACGCGATACTTCATCACAAGACGGGATTAATGATGCACTGCCTTTGTACACACAGGCGGACCATGCAAAGTCGCAGCCAAGAGATGACCAAGAAGCTCCTAGAGCAGGGCGTCGGGTGCAGGCCCATCGTGTGGGCTGCGCACTCCAAAGGAGGCCTTTTCGTCAAACAGATATTAGTCGATGGTAATTATTTCTGACGCATAAAGACATACATTGATCGATTTATATTGATTGATTGATTGGCATAAGATATGAATGTTTCCTTTGTTTTCCTCTTCAAATTCAGCAAGTGAGAATTGCAGTGAATTAGTGAAGAATACGCAAGGGATTCTATTCTACAGCGTTCCTCATCATGGATCAAAGCTTGCCAGGATTAACATTCCTTGGTTGCTGGGACAATCTGTGGAAATCACAGAAGTTAAAAAAGGTTAATATTCAGATCCAATTTCTTTGTTGAGTGTAACATTGCCCCCATTCTTAAATTGTGGTATCATGCCATCTGTTTTTATGAAGATTGCCCTGAGGTGAGGGACCTTCACAGAAGATTCTTGTCGCTTTATGAGAATGATCACCTCCACGCCGAAGTGGTCTCACTAGTTGAATCACAGGAGACCCCTTTATACTTCACTTATGTCAGAGTAGTTGACGAAGAATCAGCAGGTAAATTTATGAAAACTTGGTTATCCTTCTTATGTGGGAACAAATACAATTGTTCTTTCTATTTTCTAGATCCAGGAGTGGGAGAATTTTATAGCGTCTCCGCAAACCACAAAGACATTTGCAAGCCAACTGGCAGGTAATCCTCCTGTCATAGCAAAGAGAAAAATGCGACTTTTAAAAAGATGTCTAAGTTCTAAATTAAAATATTGCTGTGTTTCCAGGAAATGTGTACTCTACTTAGAATTAGCTCACCTGATCAACCGAGTGACTTGACACGCAGCTATCGACTTGGTACGCTCCCATTCCAAGTTTGAATTTTTTTGCACCTATTTTTAATATTTGTAGATTACACTTATTTTTATAGTACTTGAAACACTTAAAAATACTGCTGATTATTGTAAAAATTTATCACAGTTTAAAATGTACCATTGTGTGACTGATAAAAAGAACAATGATTTTTGTAAAATAATGAAAGAACAATTCAGATCATTTGGAATTCCCCTGTAGGTGAAACATAATTGTGTCCATAAAATTGTGTGTCTGCCATATCTCCCCTGTCGTAAGAAATATACGTTTTTGTAAACCTGCTAAGATTCTGTGATACACTAGATATACGTGATATAATATAGATAAATAAAGAATTGGTCTGGTTTGTGAGTTAAAGATATGGAATGTGAATAAAATGAAGTTCAAACAGAATTGTCACTCGGTGCATTTCCACAATTTCAAACATCATTTACGAACAGATTTCCAAAAACAAAACTGGAGTGCGTGATTCTACACGTTCTTCTGGATCCAGTCGAGGTACTCCGTCACCTTGGTGTAGACCCCCGGCTGCATGGGCGCTCCACACTTGATGCCATACGACACCACACCAATGTTGGCCCAGCGGCCATCCTGCCTCTGGATCATCAGAGGACCGCCTGAGTCTCCCTAAAGCAAAAAGACAAATAAAATATTTAAGTTGAGATATCCTTTAAAGCAGCACCATCTCGTCAGTTTTACACCGTTTTGCACCAACCTGGCACGAGTCCTTGCCACCCTCGTAGCCGCCGGCACAGACCGCCGTCTTAAGGATGGGCTGCGAGTACCGCTTCTGGCACTCGGAGTTGCTCCAAAGAGGGATGCCGACCTCCATGAGGACCGTGGCTGCGGGGCCGCCGTACGACATGGTACCCCAGCCTGGAAACGACGCGAGTGTCAGTCGGACCGGATGCGGAAGGACACCGGAAGCTGCCGCCTTATTACCTGTGACGACCGCCGTCTTGTTGACCATATTCTTCATATCGCTGGGCTCGGGTAGGCAGACGGGCCACACGTACGTGTTGAACACGGCGGGCCGGTCCAGCGTGAAGATGGCGATGTCGTTCTCGTAAGTGTGCATGTCGAAGCGCTCGTGACGTCGGATGCTCACAACCTGCAGCCGACCATTTCCAGATAGAAAACCTTCATTCCCCGCCACAAAACTCCGACCGTCGAGATTAAAGTGCATATATTTTAGCCAACTTCGCGAATTCATTAATGGCATTCAAAAGCCGTGCATGATCGATGATCGCTATTCCCACGCCCTTCTTATAAGTGCCTCGCGGTGGAGTGTCCCAGCTCGACTTTGTAATATTGATGAGCGCGCGATTCGCGCGACGGCGGCTTGCAGAAGGGCGGGACGGAAATGCAAATTTGAAGGATGATGACAGACCTTGAACTTTTGCGAGCGTGTCTCATCAGGTTTGGTCAGATCGTATTCCCCAAGCACCACTGCAATGTCCGCTTGTCGCTTCCTGAAATTTTACACCGATACAAGGAAGAGTGTAAGGATCATCAAGACAACTACCACACGCGGTCGCACTTGCTAGAAAAATTCAACAGAAGCGGGTTAGTTTGGGAATACATACATCGCTGAAAGAAGGAGCGACGCTAACTCGTTTTACCGACAAGTAATTGCTATTGGTATCAAGGAAGACAAGACCAATCTACCGCGCCATCGAAAGAACCATCCATTATGAAAACTCATTTACCATATCACAGCATCTCATCTAGTCAGTCAATTATTCAATCATTTTTTTAAAATATTTATACGACGAATTACAGAAGTGCTAGTTCCATTTGAATGTGAGTAGGAATAACTTATGACTTTGTTACGTGCAAGTAGCTTGAAACAATTACATTATACACAAGATAAAGTGTAGTCATTTTACCGGGATGGGTGGGGAGGGGAAAAGAAAAGCACACCAGTCGGGACAGAGAGAGGCATGAGCCTAGCGATATCCCGCGCCTGGTCCCGGAGCGCCCGGAGTAGCGCCGCGGTACCTGATGAGGCAGTGCGCCGCCGTAAGGACGTGCGACTGGTCCAGGACCACGCCACCGCAGAACTGCTCGTCGTCCTTGGCGTTGACGATGGCCGCCATCCAGGGGTACTCGCCGGGGTCAGACACGCCGCCGTTGCCCTTCGGGGCCTCTGCGCCCTCGATGGCCGCCACGCCGCAGCCTGGCAGAGAAGGTGGCGCACATTTTTCACGCTTGTTTTTAAAAAAAAATATGCCATATGAAGTTACCCCACTTGAAATTTTTTTTATCTGCGGGGATAAATTTACATTGGTCTCTAAGACAAACATCAAATACCGTTCCGTGAATAAGTACCCTTCCTGATATTAACGAAATTCGTGTGCAACCCGTACAGAAAAAAGTAGCCTCAGGATGGCTC